CTGACTCCCAGAGTGCATTGCGGCATGAATAAATTATGCAGTTGCTTTGTTTTACAGTTGTTGATTTTATTTGACAATTTTATTAGCTGTCTTGTGTCAGTAGTAGCACAACAAAAAGAGCAAATAAAATGGTTATTGTTACAATTAATGAAAATAAATGAAATTCAATTGTTACCATTGTTGTGATTCACGTGCTGAATGTGTGTGACTTTAGCATATTACCATACACTTTATAAGGATTATATAAACCCAATTAAAATCATATCAAGGTATTTATGAATAATGAAATTTGAAAAAGTTCACTAAAAAACACATGCAAAAAAAATACACTAATGCTTTAATTAGGAGAGAAGTCACATTCTAAAAGCAACCTATTTATTGTTTTTCTTCCCTTGAAGTCAAATAAGTCTGACTTCATGATGCATTGTTGCATTAAGAGAAAGAACACTATATGAACATAAACGAAGTTCCAAGTAGAGACCTGCTCCGCTCCCGCAGAAATATATCTTATCTGGTCCCGCTTCCGCCCGCAAAAGCCTGCATAAAAGTAATCTATATAGATTTTATGCCTAGCTTGCACGTCAATCATTTTAATGTTAATATTAGTTGTTCTTTTTGCGCAACAGATAAATAACAATTTATATGTTTTAAACACTTTATGTTTAGATCATGTCTATTTTGCGGGAGTCTCGCGAATCATTTTATCCTCCCGCATCCCGCACACGAGTCTCTCCCCGCCCGCGCCCGCATCCGCATCCACACCCGCACATCAAGAGTTGCCCCGCGCCGCACCCTGTTGCGTTGGGTCTCGCGGGAGTGAAAGTCTCTAGTTTCAAGTGCACAACCAAAGGGAACGCTAATCACTATAATTGGCACCGATTGATTTAACGTGAATTGGTACTCGGTAGTACCGACGCAATTCGGTCGGTACCCTTAAAAGTACCGAGTTCGGTACCCAACCCTACAGAGAAAGATGTGTCGCAATTTAGCAAACTATGGGGTTCCAAGTGCTTTTTGGTTTGATCGGAGTAGGTAGTTTACCGGTGAGTTTTGGTGGGGGGATCTTTCTTTAGAAAAAACTGTCAGTTCTGTCAAGTGTTTTGTTGTTTAGGCAGCAAGCGGTACACCGAACTGTTTATATAGCATACATTTGTAAACTGTAGCTGTCTGCAGGGGTTTGTCCTTCATCCTTCACTATGTCCACTTGACTAATACAGTATGTAGTATGCATCTCTTCTCTTCTCTGTTGCTCTCATTCTCTTTATGTCTGCTTGATAATTCTCTGTCTTCACAATGTAAGTGTATTCTGAGACTCCATGGGTAGATACTAGTATGTCAATCCTCTGCTCTTTGATGAGGTAAATGTATATTACAGCAGCTGCTACAGTGCAGTATTAGAAGGGGAAAACAGACAGAAGAAAATCAAATGACTTCATGTCAGTTAAGCCATTCACCCATCAATATCTGAAGAAACTGCTCGGCTCAGCTCATTGGCAGTAATTCAGTGTGGCATCTTTAGAGTTGTGCCGGTGTGAGAGATAAATTATTGACTTGTTTCTTCACAATGGTTCAATGAGCTGCTCTGGGAAATGTTTTGAACAGCATAATGAGTAAATAAACTCTCACCGTGGCCAAGATTATGCTGTCATAACCAGCCGCAACGCGACAAGATTTCTAGCACAAGCAATATTTCTATCATCGCTCGAAGTGAAAACACAATGAAATCCCTCTGTCTGCATGCTCTCTCAAACTCGTAAGAGCATGAAACTGAGAGCACACACCTTGTGTTTTGATGATTTCGGTGATGCATCTCCAGATGGCATCTAAGGTTTTCTTCGTGGAAGGATTTGTCAACATTGGACGTTAGTCTACATGAGGTGTTTGGTCCAGTAAGTTTTTGGTGTGGGCAGGGCTGCTGATATGACACTGCTTATATAGAAAAGAGATGTATGCTTGTATGACTTGTAGCCTGCTTCAGTCTGCTTGAGGATTTCTGACCTATAATCGCATTTGCTGATTCCATGCATGTAAATATGCATGATGAACTGTTTCATCATGTCTCGCTGCGATGTTAGGACGCCCTGTCAATGTGTCACTTCCATGTCACTGGCATCAAAAATAACAATCCTTCAGTCAAATGTATAGTCCCTTATTTGGTTCCTGTATCTGAGTGCATGCTGCATCTAAATCATAATGCATATTATATACATACATAATATTATAAATCAGTTATTTGTAAACCGGCCCTAATAAACAACATGTTTGCCACTTGGTGATTCGAAGTATTGAGGTCCTGTTGTCTCTGCCCAGAGTGTTCAGCATAATCAGGTGTTTCATCAACCATGGACACATTTGACCCTGTGGGCGTTTACTTCCTTAAAATACACAGTAGTTTCTTGCTGCTTTCATTGCTAGCATTTTTTCTACCAATTCACAAACACCTTTGGAAAATTTGACACAATTACAGCTCAATTGAAAATGATACACGATTAAAATACAATGTTCAAGTAATATTTACCTTGATATGTCTTTGTTTTCTTTACAAATCACGTCTCCTATTTTAACATACACTGTTGACTCATTTAGTAAGCAAGTGTACTAACTTTGGTAAAACTTTATGAGGGGTATGTTTGTTGGACCTGGTGAAAATTATGACACCTAATTAGTGTTGAGTCGTTTTTTTAAGTATATATAAATAAAATGTCATAAACTCATATGTCGTTTGACAGATTGTCATATAAGACTACTATTACAAAACAAAAATACATGGAAATATTTCCATTTATTGCATGTAATGCTGAAATATTTTCATGTATGGCAAACTGGAGTTAATTTTTTTCAGTATAATGCAATATTTGCATGGACCATGTATGGCTATATATCAATACATATAAAAACTATATAGCAATGAAGACAAAAACTGTACTGCATGTTTCATGTAATAGCTTTATTGAAGAACTCAGCTGTCAGAATATGAGACAACATCAACAACAAACCCAAGTAGAGTATTCCGGCTCCAACAAAGACTTCTAAAAGCGATTAGAAGAAGCGATTAGTCAACAGAAGAGACGGACGGCAGCGCGTGAGTGTTTTTGCATAATACTTGGTTATAGATATGTTGTTTAAACTATTACATGCTGCTAGGAATAAATATTTCGTTTTCTACCTATTTCTGCTTTGTATTTTCGTTGGAGCTTGTATTTTTGATTGCACTTACTGGTAATTATAATAATTGCCCTCGGCTAAGAAGGAGCCTGTGTTATTTGCATTGCTCCCTTCCTGCACTGAAGTGCGAACTGTAGTTTAGATTTGAGCAATTGCTCTGCTATATGCCATTGGCTGTGCTAATTAGAAGGTGTCCAAAGCTGTTTTTTTTTACTTTGTGTATTTATCTGATGTCTGTGCGCTGACGCGGAAGCATCAGCAGAAGCGTTCAGCCCTCCTCGTGTGAAGACCAACGAGTGTAAAGACCTGCGACTTCACCGAGCAACGACACCGGCAACGCACTTAAGTATAATTTTTATCTTCCCTATACACACTCTCCTTTTCTGTCCTCTCTTTTCCACCTCTATCATGTGTTTCCAAAACATTCCGGTTGTCACTCGACAACACTAACGTCACACACAGACGGCAACGCAATCTTGCTAACCTGCATCCTATCTCTACATCTTCTACTGCACCTCTTTTTTTTCTCTGTGTGTCTCTAGAATTGTCAGTCAGCTGTCAACAAAGCAGACTTCATTTCTTCTTTTTCTTTAAACTCCACACTCAGCATCTTGGGCTTGACTGAGACCTGGATTCGTCCAGAAGACTCCGCAACCCCAGCTGCTCTAGCTAACAATTTATCTTTCTCTCACACCCTCCGTCAAGTTGGACGGGGTGGGGGCACTGGTCTGCTCATTTCTAACAATTGGAAATACTCAATCCACTCTCCCCTATGCAATTATAACTCATTTGAATCTCATTTGATTACTGTAACAGCTCCTAAAAAACTCCAGGTTGTGGAAATGTACCGCCCTGCTGGGCAAATTCTAGGCACCTTCCTAGAGGAGCTGGATGGGCTGCTTTCCTCATTTCCCAAGGATGGCAGTCCACGTTTAGTCTTTGGCGACTTCAACATTCATCTGGACAAGCATTATGCTACAGACTTTAATTTATTCCTTCCTTTATTTGATCTCAAACGACTTACCACTACAACCACGCACAAATCACCACTTCTATAACAGCTGATGATTTCGCCACATTCTTCACAGACAAAACTAGAACAATCAGCAGCCAGTTCTCTGCTCCACACTCAAAGGATCTCAAACCATCCACACCCACTGCTAAAACTCCCATCTTCTCCTAACTCCAGGTTGTGGTAATTTACCGCCCTCCTGGGCAAATTCTAGCCACCTTCCTAGAAGAGATGGATGGGCTGCTGTCCTCATTCCCGGAGGATGGCAGTCCACTTTTAGTCTTTGGCGACTTCAAGATTCATCTGGACAAGCCTTATGCTACAGACTTTCATTCACTCCTTGCTTAATTTTATCTCAAACAACTTACCACTACAAGCACGCACAAATCAGGCAACCAACTTGATTTAATTTACACACGCAATTGTATTGCAGACAACATTTTGGTAAAACCCCTTCATATCTCTGACCATTTCTTCATTACATTTAAAGTACATTTTGCTACCTGTGTGCCACCAACCCCTATAGCGGTTACACCACTGCTAAAACTCCCATCTTCTCCTTCTGTCCCCTCACTGAGGCAGAAGTATCAAATCTTCTCCTCTTCAGCCATCCTACAACATGCCCTCTACACCCAATCCCCTCACACCTTCTCCAAACAATCTCTCCTACACTTTTACCAGCACTTACACACATCATCAACACATCTCTCCTCACAGGCACCTTCCCACTGCATTCAAGCAGACTCGGGTAATCCCACTGTTCAAAAAACCTACATTAAAGCGGAAGCCTTGCGGATGACAAAAGCTCATTCCAAATCATCAGTTCTTATTCTGCTGGATCCATCTGCTGCTTTTAACACTGTCAATCACCAGATCCTCCTGTCTGCCGTCTCATCACTGGGCATCAAAGGGATTCCACTTCACTAGTTTGAATCCTATCTCACTGGTAGGTCTTTCAGCGTGGCCTGGGGAGGGGAGGTATCCAAAGCACATCAACTGCTCACTGGGGTTCCTCAGGGATCAGTTCTTGGACCTCTCCTCTTCTCCATATACACAACATCACTGGGTCCCATCATACAGGCACATGGCTTCTCCTACCATTGGTATGCTGATGACTCTACATCCCCTCCAGAAGTCTGAGATCCGCTAGTGAGCGACGCCTCGTGGTACCATCACAGAGAGGCTCAAAATCACTTTCCAGAACATTCTCATTCACCATTCCTGGTTGGTGGAATGATCTTCCCACTTCTAACCGGAATTCTGAATCCCTGACAATTTTCAAGCGACAGCTGAAAACTCACCTCTACTTGACTTCATCCTAAATAAAAAAATGCGCTAACCAGTCAGGTTTCAGGAGTGGCCATTCAACTGAGACTGTCAGTCACGGAAGCCTTGCGGATGACAAAAGCTCATCTTGTACTTATTTGAACAATGCCTAAAACTTGGTATTACAAGCACTTCCTGTGTCTGTTTGCCTCTTTAAGAAGGATCGCTTTATGTATTCCCAATTGTAAGTCGCTTTGGATAAAAGCGTCTGCAAAATGACTAAATGTAAATGTAAAAGCAGCCATGAGGCACACGTGAGTGATGTTAGAGTGTCGAGGGTGTTCACACGGCCTTCTGTTAAAACCTAAAACAAATCTATACAGAAATTAAATATAGCTAGATTTAAAGGAAGAAAAACTCTGGCATCCTGAAGCTAGCACTTTTATCCATGATGGAGGATCCTGGTTAAAGTAACAGGAGATGTTATATGGGTGTATTAAAGGACGTCACCCTGTACACACGTCTCTAGTGCAGTACATACTGACTACTGCAGGTCTCAGACACGCACGCTCCTAAATAAACACTTACCGCATTCTCACAGTGTTTTTACGTTCTTGCACTATGGCTTAAGATCGTTTCTTTATTAATATACATCTGTGATATAGGATAGGCCATCTGCTCATGGCAGCAGCACAGATGGGTAGAAGAAATAAAGCCAATTACTGTTGGCTGTCAGCTCAGCAGGGAAGAACTCAAGTGAAGTTCACATAAAAATAAGAGCCGTCCAGTTGTGTTTAGTGGACGGCTGAGCAACGCTTTTGGACATTTGACTACTAGCGTAAAATCTGGTCTAGTTTGTAGCTTCTTGTATGAAATAGTTGATATCAGGATATTAAGCATTCAAACAGTTGCCAACAGAATCAGAACAGAAAATGCTGAAGAAATGAACATAGACTTTATGCATAGACTTTTTTATTAATGTCAGTGTGTCCAGAAGCAATGAATGCAGTAACTTGAAGCAGAATGCACAGCACTGATTGTGGATGTCAAATAAAATGCTTCGTTTTTAGCAAGATTTTTAATATGTAATCCATACCTCTAATATTGGCTAATCCAGTAACTAGGTCTTTCCTTAAAATGCTTCCTCGTATTGGGCCACTACCAGCTACCATCAATCAGACTGGAACAAATCTCATTCAGACATTGCCCTCTTTGTGTGCAGTAAGCATCAGACAGCAGCAGTTTATGGGGAAAGAGCAAATAGTGCATTCTGGCTATTGACGTCACACCATCCATGTCCCAAGTGTGAAGTAATGCTTGAAATCTAATCTGGCACATTTTTAAAATCTGATTTAAATGGGATTCTCAGCCATTGTGGTTTGAAAAATGTCATGTGTTTTTTTTTCACATGTCTGTGATATCAGGTCAGATTTCAAGTAGTTTTTTGTATTTCAGATGACATGTAAGTGCAAAGTGCACTGTAGCATCTGCTGCTGTCTGAATTTCCTCTCGTTCCCTGCTCTGCATAAAAAAAGCATCTGCTAAATTAATAATGCATTGGAAATATTGTAATTATGAGTTCTGGGCTCTAAGAACAGTTGTTGAAAACTATTTCAATCTGAAACATGGCAGAAACACTGAATTTTAATACGTATAATCTGTATAGAAAGATCAGTGAGTGGAAAGGCAAGTCTGTACACTGTAAAATCCAACAGTTCTTCTAACAAACAGTTTTTAGTTAACTTTACTTAGTTTAAAAATCTAGTAATCTTTACTATTCACATATGTACCTTTGTTTACTCAGAAAACCCAAGTTAAGATTAACTGATTGGTTTGAGTGCCATTTTGTCAAAGAAGAGAAAAAAAATAGTTTTTGAGGCAGGGCCTCAGTTTAAAAGTTTAAAAGACTTTTCATTCATTTCCTCCACTTCTGAAGTTATCTTTCTCTAGTTGCATTCACTCATTTCCAAAAGTCATCTTGAATGTTGAATTCTCAGTACAACTGAAAAACAGAAAATCACATAAGCTGACTGCATAAATTGATGTTGATTTTCCTAAAATGTTTTTGTTTGAACTTGCCATTATATAGTGATATAAGCACTGGACTGTGTCAGAAAGTGAACACACATCTGTATTCTGTATCAAGTGTAGATAAGATAGTGCAGTGATTGTAGTGCAGATACAGTGATTTCTATTTGCTTTTGATGCGACACGCATTCAGCCTGATCCAAGTGTTAGCCGTTAGCGACTGAACGCTAGTGGGCGGGGCCTATGCTGAGAAGATGACTATTCGTCGATGTGTTGCTCTGGAGGCGTGTTTATGCAAACGACTGTGCCCAGCTGACGTCACCTTGTTCCATCAGATCTAAAACGAGCCGTTTTCTGAGGGTTATTGCATAAATGCTTTTTTATTGATGATGAGGACATTTTAAGTTATGAAACTTGCAGGATGTATTAACCAAACAGAGACGTTTTCTGTATCAAAAGATCAAGGGAAATTTGGTTTCTCATGTCATGATCCCTTTAATGCAACATACTATTCCTATTTCACTTAGTTTTTCTTTAAGGCAATCGGTTTGCATGCTTTTTTTAAGTAAGCCTAACTAATTGGATTGTACAGTGTAGTGAATAATGAACTTTCACAGTATTGATATTGATTGAGTTGATGTGAACTGTGTTTGATGAGTTTGTGGTTGCGTGTTTGCAGGATGGTTCCTCCCTCCAGTAAGGCCTTCCACATCACCAACCTGATATCGATGACTCTCTATGACCTGTGTGTGCTGGCCGCCTGGGACGACTCGGCCACCACACTCACTGCCACTAACGTGGTGGGCTGCGTGCAGTTCTACACCCGGGACGAGTACCCACAGTGCCAGTCTCTGCACTGGCAGCTGTTGGGTGGCACCATGATCCTGGTGGTGGGCGGCGTGATTGTGGCCACGCTGCTGGTGTTTATCGTCATCCTGATGGTGCGCTACAAGACAGGGGATGGCGAAACCCCCACCAACAAGCTGAGCAACGTCAGTGAGACGTACTCTCAGACAAACGGAGGAAGGCTGGGGCAGAATGGACTGCCTCTGCTGGCGCCCAAGCCCAAAGTCAGCATGCAGGACGAAGTGGTTGAATTCAAGTGCGGTTCGCTCCAGAGCAGCATGTCCTCTTCCTCCTCTTCTTCCTCCTCGGGTTCAGCAGATCCCACGCCCTACAGCCCCAACAGTACCCTCGCCAGCATCTGGAGGTCCGCGCCTCCCAAGCCCCGCACCAACTTAGACCAGCTTCTAGGGGCCTTCACATCGCTGGAGCTTCGGGGCCAGGCCAAGGAGCCACGACCGTCCGGGAGCACGGCTGCTGCTTCGGCCCCAGCGGGCCCGACTGACAAGGAGCCTCTGTTGGGCCGGACGCTGGACTCGCGGCTTAGCAAGCTGCTCATGCTGCCTCTGGACTCCAAACCCAAGAGGAGCCACTCGTTCGACATGGGCGACTTTACTGTGTCCACGGCGCAGCAGCTGTGCTCGTACCCACACCGGATCAGCAGCATCTGGACCAAACGCAGCCTGTCGGTGAACTGCATGCTGCTGCAGTGCGACGAGGATGGGGACAGCTGCGGGAGCAAAGGCACCATCGAGAGCTCTGAGTGGGTTATGGAGAGTACTGTTTAGGGGCCGGGACGTACGGGAAGAAATACGATATAAACCCCATCATTCATGACTCTGAATATGTTTTTTATTATTGCTATTCACCTTGCCATATCCAGAACAGACGCAGCATTCAGGGGGTGAATTCATGAAATGGTTGCACCACTTCTAAACCTGTCAAATCTTTCTATTGACCCTCGGTTTTTAGCACAAACATGCCTAATTTCTAAGTAAAGTAGGCTCATTGTAGCTTGTGCCTTAAGCCCACAATATACTACGGTTTTTATGCATATGTGAGGGTCAGCTTAGAGTGCGGTATGCAAATTTCGTTACGTGCACTGCACATGCACAATCCGATTTTTGTAACTGCTTGCTTTGTATGCACAGGTCGCACATTCAATTTGCTTTGCAGTAATCAGTTGTTCCACAAGGTGGCAACACTGTCCCAGGCCATTGTTTCACAGTAGAAAATGAAACTAAAGAGACAGAACAAAAAGTCTGCAGCAACAAGAGATGCTCACATTGACAAGCACTTGTGAGCGAGCAGGTATGAGATATCACAGATTTGGTCTAAAAGAGTTCAAAAGATATTTGTTATCAGCCATAACTTACGGGGAAAATCGAGCAGACACTGGACATGGATGAAGCTTTGTAGAGCGCATGTATTGACCGCCCACGTTCGCGTACAACATCAAATAGAGTATACTTTGAAAGGCTATGCATTCGACTGTACACATACACTAGCGTACGCATACAAAAAAGAAGCATACTTGGGGCTTTAAGGTCCTGACACACCAACATTGGACCGTTGTTAAGTGTCAGTCAGCTTAGTTTTTGTAGTGTGGTGTCCGTCCGCATTGGTGCCGTCAGTGAGAGACAGAGCTCTGATTGGCTGTTCAGCTTGGTGAAAAAGACAAAAACCTGAAAGTGATCAGAGCGAGCAAAGAAGTCAAGACTAAATTCATCTCATCTTATCTGTGCATTTCAAAATCATAAGCAAGCACAGCTTTGTATGTGGCTTGTATATAGGCAGTCCTAGTTTTGGTTTCCCTTTTTGAATGACGAATATATTCCATTGATTCCTGTTGGTACAGACAGTTATTTCCTCTCACGCAGACACAGACTGTACCTGCTAGTTGGCCATTGGCTGAAGTCTTTGCAGTGTGTTCAAGCCTGATATTTTAGCCCAGACAAACACGACAGTCAGCTTTAGTCGCTGCTAGTTCTTTGACATCAGTTTGGTGTGTCACGGCCTTTACATGATCTGCACAAATCCTAAACCTGCACAGGCGATGCGTCGGTGGTTGTGATTCATTCCTAGTGAATCCCCCCCAGTCTGCTGTGCTGGCTCATTGGTGTGAGACGTACGTGTGTGTGTGTGTGTGTGTGTGTGTGTGTGAGTGTGAGTGAGTGAGTGAGTGAGTGAGTGAGTGAGTGTGAGTGAGTGAGTGAGTGAGTGTGTGTGTGTGTGTGTGTGTGTCATCTTTATGTCTTATTTGTGTCTGAATCGGACAGGTTGGAATGAATGGGGGATAAACTCTTGTGCTACTGCGGTTTTTCAAAGCTGGTATGGGAACTGAAGCACATAGACAGTGGAAATTGCCATGCCAGCAGTTTCCCTGAAGAGCAGCATAAAGACTCTGTGAATATCTTCATGTGCAACACTGTTTATATGTGTAATGAATTTAAACATTTATATATTTTTTATCTTGTTGGTCAAACGCTCTTCTTTCTTGATGAAAGAGAATTCCTGAACCTTCACGGCATTTAACTCACTCTCTTCAACTTCTCATTTACTCATTTTTGAGAAATCATGTGTATGGTTTCAATGAATCCTCAGATATTGATGTTTTTCTATATTCCTGTATTTACTAAGGTGATGGAAAGACATGAGACATTAATAATGAAAAAGGGCTGTGTGGAGATATATTGAAACGTGTCTGTTGTGTTATTTTAAGTCTCTTAATAATATAAACCAACTTTATTTTGTGTGATTTAAAACACAAGGCTAGTCCAGTGGTTCTCACAGAGGGGCCGGTGTCCACTCGGGGGCCTCCACTAACTTTCAAGGGGGCATGGGATGATGTAAAAACTATCAGAATTAATACATATTTTTAATATATTAGAATGCTTTTAAAAAGCTGTATTTGCTTTTCTGCTTCAATAACTAAACATTTTTTTATCAAAGAACATACAGTCTTTAGAATACTGTGTTGGTCAGCTGGGGCTGTAGATTGAGAAAGGTTGAGAACTACTGGCCTTGTTCATCTCAGCAAAGACAGCTTAAAAAGAATCGACGTGCATCAGAATATCACTCTGGGTTCACTGATATTTGTCCAGGTTCACAGTCACACTGCAGAATGTGGTGTCACTCCTCTTCTGAGTGTTTCATCTGGTTCTGTTCACACACAGTTCATTTATCAGCAGGAGTGACGCCGCATTATACAGCCCAGTTCATTCCTGGAGTATTCAGCCAGCGACCGCTGCATTGATATGGAGTTCAGGAGGACGCTGACGGCTGGAAATCACAGTGTCTGAACTCATTCACACTTTTTGATTATTTTTTATTCTCCAGTAGTTCCTTGCACCAGCCCTGTGGCTCATCACCGTCTGGATTACTGAAACGAAAACACATAACAACTACATAGAAATGTGTCGATGCCTAAAACTAAATTGACTCTGAAGCAACCCACTAATGATAATGAAGCTATATAAAATATATTATATTATAGAGAAAGCCAACTTAGTGATCTACTATATAAACAACTTCTGAGCCAAAATTTAGTCAGCATCTCCTCCTAAAGCTTTAAAGCTAGAACCACCAAACTGGGCTCAGACCTTCAGACTGTTCTTAAGTTAGTTGCTATATCTCTTCTGACTGATCTGACCTAAAAACCAGAATTTGTGGCCGACTTTATTTCAGTATGGTGATATATTTCCATCTGAAAGGGAATTTTGAATAGAGGGTGGGGTTTTGTTTCAACTCAGAGTGCTGCGGGAAACACCCATTCCACTGACATGAAACCTGTGCAGACAGCAGAAAACACGTGCTGAGAACGCAAAGAAATATACAGCTAAGTGAGTGATGTTAAGTGTTCGGTTTCTTTTTGGGGCAGTTAGGCCTTATTTGGAGGCAGTGTAAAATGATGTGTGAGATTTAGTGTTTGTGGATGTTACCAATCATTTGTCTTCTCATCGAAGCGCTCCACATCAGAGGTTGTGAAGACTCCATTAAACCTCCTGACAGCAAACAACTGATCATCAACCACCTGGATTTTGAAGAAGGTAAAAAGGAAATTAAATCATGTTCAGCTAAAGGCTTTACCTTTATATGAACAAATCTAAGTATTGATTAAACACTTCAATGAAACATAATAATGCACAATATAAAATGCCTCGACTCTTGGAATTGGGTAGATGTTTTTGTAGTCCAACACATTGAGCAATATTTATTCATTTTGACATTTCCAAGAAGCCTTCTAGAGTTTTGAGATGCAACTTTCTGCTTGCTGTCAATATGGAACCAATACAGTTTCCCTATATTCATAATTACCCAATCATTATTATAATGTTATTTCATAGTTTCAGTAGATGCAGATTAATTGTCCACATCTCACCTCAATGCCAAAGTTTCTGCATGGGTTGTACATAGATGCAATATCACACCAGATGTTAGTCAGTGGGTTGTAGGTTTCTGCACTCCGCAAACGACTGGCACCATCAAAACCACCAACCTTTAAAAAACACATTTTTAGTTATGGATTCTGTGTGTTTGTATGAATGCATTTACATACGTGCAGCCTTTAAACTGTGATTGCCTCCATGATTCTGCATGTGTGTAAGGATTAATATTACAGATAACTAAGACTATTAAAATAAATTGTTCTTGAAATTAAATAATTCCAAAAAAACTCCTTAATTCCTTAAACTCATTTTATTTCAGCTAGCAAGATGACATTTTTTTTCATTTAGTTTAAAACTATATAGACATTTTTAAAAATCGAAACAAGCATGACAAAGACACACAACAAAATGACTAAAATCTAAAATGTAAGTAAATATTTAAAATAAATCTAAATATTAATAAAAACAACAATAGTATCTCAAATATACTTAACACAGATCCAAATATATGTTATTTTATTTTATTATTTTATTTTATCGACATATATATTATATTAATTAATTTTTATCCAAAGCTACAATAATTGTTGGGACACAAAGTTGTATCATGGCTTTTGTAATTTTTGGACATATACCATGCTAATACAGTGTTATTCTTTAAAGTAACTTGGAGCACTTTCAGTGGATGGGGATTATTAGGAGGCCATGATTGACAAGGGCCAGTGGAGGGAGTTTGGCCAGGACACCGGAGATAGACCCCTACTCTTCACCACTATACAGCAGCAGCCTAGTTTTCCCAGGGGTCTCCCATCCAGATACTGACCAGCTCAAGCCTGCTTAGCTCCAGTGGGCTGTAATAAAGTGGCATATGGCTGTGTATCAAAGTACAATATGATACCCATTAGATTTTACCGCAGTACTTTTTTCTATAAAGGAAGCAAAATTAAAGTTGTTAAAATTAAATCTGTTGACGTACAACATTACTCACCTCATGCCACGTTTGCGTGATGAGATTAAGTTTCCTCTCACTGATGAAATAGTGCACGCCGTCTAAGCCTCCAACACAGCAGAGGAACTCCTCGAGGACAGCGGTGCCGTTATAGGCTCTGGGACGCTCGTCCTCAAGACTCACTTTGACCCAGCTTTCAACATTAACACAAAAGAACACATTGATAATCCAGACTCAGGAAGGAGACTGGGACAAGTAACCAATATTGATGGTCAAAAAGATGCACAGCATAACCATCACATGTAAATCTATGATAGTAATCACGAGCTTAAGACTTTCTTCGGATTGACTTCCCTCCACCTAGAAGACAAGAACCAGACTGAGATTCCTTCTAGTCCCCTTTTGACCTCTGCTTCTCACAGAACACCTCTTCACGTTCACAGGATGGCAGAGAGACTGCCTTTACATGTTTATATGCACCAAAATGATGCTAAAAGGACTTATGAGCAACTTTCACTTCTATGCCTAACTCTGTATGCATGTATGTAACCCACACGTTTGACTATCATGTCCTAATCACTTATTGTGTATGTATTTTGAATAACTATTGAATAGTTTATAGGTTTATATTCATGTTGGGTATGTATGAGTTTGGAAATTCATGCTTTAAACGTTTCTATCAATCAATACTTTGTAAAATATATTATATTCTGGTTATAGAAATCATGTCCAAATTATACTCGGACCATGTGACTGATAAGATAACAGGTTGATTTATGTACTGGGAGGAGAAACATAGCAACACCCTGAGCTAAGATAATGTCTAATTGGTCAAGACACCATTTGGGATGTGTCCAGAAGCCCGGTTTAAAAACTCAGGACACCATCAAATTATGCTTTTTGCCTTGTCGGCTTTTACCCACCGCTTTTAGTCATTGCTTTTTGCTTTATGCTCTTAGCCATGCTTTTTGCCCGTGAGTTCTTTGAGCGCCATACAGTGTGCTCTGGCTTGCATGCCAGCAGCTCCTCTAAAACCATGAGGAGAAATGCTACCTAGTCTCGGCAAACTTTACTCTTTTATTTCTTTTACTTTAGTTTCTTTTCTTTTCCGTTGAGAGTTTCGTGTTCTGAGATAAGTTTCGCCGCAACCCTGTGTCTCCGAGTTCACCTCGAGTCTGTGACCGCCTCAAAACTTCAACCAGCCCACAACTCCGCATCTTCAGTCAACGCCCAACCACTGGCTTCCCAAAACTTCACTTCAATGACTACTGAACTTCCAGCCAATCAACAAACTTGGGAAATACTCTGCAAGAGCGGGAAAATTCGGACCATGTGACTGATGAGATGACATGTTGATTTATGTATTGGGAGGAGAAACATACAACAACCCGAGCTAAGACATTGTCTAATTGGTCAAGACAAGATTTGGGATGTGTCCAAAAGCCCAGTTTAAATATTCAGGACACCATCAAATTATGCTTCTAGCTTTTTAGTCATGTTTTTTTAGTCATGCTTTTAGCCACTGCTTTTTAGCTTTTCGCTTTTAGCCTTTTTGCCACAGCTTTTTAGCGCTCTTTGAGCGTGCTCTGGCTTACACGCCAGCAGCTCCTCTGAAACCATGAGGAGAAAACCCATCTAGTCTCTTTACTTCTATTCTTCTACTTAAATTTCTTTTCTTTTCCTTTGAGAGTTTCGTGTTCTGAGTTAAGTTTTGTCTCTGAGTTCACCTCGAGTCTGTGATCGCCTCAAAACTTGAACCAGCCCACAACTCCGCATCTTCAGCCAACGCCCAACCAAC